ATCCAGGAAAGGTATGGACATCATTCTACTTGCCATCAATGCTTTTTATGACTCCTTCTTGCACAAAAAAAACTTCAAACTATAACATCTATCTCCAAGACAAATTTATTATTTTGCCTTTCTTAAATATGCAAAGTATTTTTTATTAGTTCATTATTAATTTTGATCTCTGACAGTGCAAAGGTAAACTATTTTGTAAACTTTGAGGTACCAAAATATGTTAGATTATATTTATTTGAATGCACTATAGTAACTTTAACACACTATCATCTCTTCCATGCTACACAATAGTCCCCTTCTGAAAAAGTTGTTTTGAAATGAAACATTTTCATTTACTGGCAAAGTCTGGATTGAAAAGAAATGCTGTACTATGTGGCTCACTGTAGCAGAGATTCATGATGCACCAGTTATAAATCAAAAATAAATAAACAACTTTTTAACAGGTAGATGTTCTACCCCGTGCTCCAGCGCTTTAATACTGATTTCTTTTATGTTGTCCTTTCCTTGCGTCAACTGGCTCTCCTGCCAGTTTTCCATGACTGTACTAGGTTTGGTGCCTTCTTTACAATATTTCTTAGGTATTCTATAAGGTGCATATCTTTGTATTCCCATCAACAGCACTTGCGGTAGGGTTGTGAAAAATGTTTTGAACAAAATTCCAAATAAAAACTGAGCTGGTTTTCCTGTTCCGTTCACATTTTCATGATTTTGTAACAAATTCCCACTTCTCACTTTCTTTTTCTATTCCCCTCCTCCCTATTTATGAACTGGCATTTTCTGCCTCTCCTCTCAAGCGAAACCATATCAAAAAAAAGAAACCTCCATGGCTTTATTCCAAAGAAGGAATTAAACTTTTTCTTCTTTTTTTTTTTTCAAATAAGCTTACTGAAATTCTGGGCTCAGATTTACAGAGGGCTTCTGAAGAATTTGGGCCCAATTTGAGTAAATAAGAGTGAATTATAATTTGTGAGTGGACACTAGTGAAAGGCAGCAGATTTCATTAAGAGCTGGTTTGAACACAAAGCAAAACTCAGGTTAATACACTTAAAAACATTTTGAAGAAACTTTTGTGTACCAGTGAGCTGTTTTACCTGTTCCTCACAGTATTGCAAATTCTTTCATCTCTCAACAATTAAAACAATCTTTCCCATTGTTTCTAGTGACTGTGGCTCCAGACTGGATTACCTGAAGGAAGCTTTGTTTTCCTCATGTGTTGCATCAAAACAAATCCTGGGTTGCCAAATAGAAAATTCAGTCTACAGTAATGTTATTCCAGATTAGATCTCTGAGTGACATTTAGAATGATGTATTCAAATAACTGTGTCTAACCTTCTTCCACTGTCTAATTGTGGGTCCCTTTTTGTGCATATTAAATAGTTCTTCACCTTGACTGAATTCTAATGTTATCTAAACCTTTGCAAGTATGTATGATTAGTATATAAGAAACAACTTTGTATTCATGTTTGAACTAGAAAATGTTTTGAATAAAATATGTTGTATTTATAAACGAGGAATTTAAACTCCTTTCAGCTTAATTTGTCACAGAAAATAATTTTTAAAAGGTACAATTTCAGAGGAAAGGCCTCTTTAGTTATGCATTCATAGAATGTGATTTCTGAAGCTTATGGTAGCATATTCATTTATAGCAATAATATCAAAGTACTTTTAAAAGAGTATATTCTTGTGTATTTCCGCCAAATACAAATTACTTGGCAATATTCTGGAGCAATTTTAAAGCCTGTGCAAAAAAAGTCAGAACATTCCCTCTTTTAACTTATAGCAGTGATCAAATTTAATTCAATTTTAATTTTAAACAATTTAAAATGCTTCCATTTTAACACTGATTACTCACATAATAACAGGTGTTATCTGAAAATGAAAGGTGTTGCAAAAAAGATAGACTTATAATTGTTTATCAGCTAGAATTAGAAATTATATTAGCTGATTCTAGAGCTTAGTTGTTAAATGATTGAAAGTATAAAGGAAATAACTAATTTTTAAGTCAATTTGAAATGTAATTGACCATTATGCCATCAACTACCCTGGCTGATTACCATTTAATAGTGAGAAATTCAATCTTGTATTAGGAGAGAAAAAGAGCTAAGTCATTAAATGCTACACATCATTTGCATTGCTTTTCAAGAGATAACTTGAAAAGAATTGGGTATAGTACATTGTTTTGAATAACTGAAGAAGGATTTTTTAAACATTATTACAATAATTTAGCCATATATTTGTTGACAACTACATTATGTTTTAATTCGAGCTAATTGTGCCAATATAGAAACTTAAATTCATTTTATTAAAACTCAGTGACCTCCATAAAACAAGTGAAAGACTGAGTGATTAATACTTCTAATGATAGCAAATATCATTAACTGTAACATCTTCTGAGTGAAATATGATAAGATACTGCATTTCAACAGTTCAATAAATCAAGCATCTCATATTAAAAAGCGGTGGTCTGAAACAGCCTTCCAATAGGAATACAGGAAACAAAAAACCCTAACTGGTTTTAAGATGGAACTTAATCAGTTTATGAAAAGCATTAAATGATATCTTTGCTTGAAATAGTTCCTTCCAGTCCTGTGTTCCTGCATAGTCATTATTGACACTGACCAGGATTAACTGAGTAGGTACAGTGTGTTTATAGCAAATTGCCCATCAAGAATGATGGGGGGGACAGTCAGGGACGAAGCCCCGCGTCCAGCTCCATGCCCCCCACCCACCACTCCGGGTCCTGGTCCGGGCTCACTCTACCTGCTCCCTCCTCCTCCCCACTCAAGGGCTGGCTCACTCCACCACCACCACCCCTGCCACTCTGGATCCAGCCCTGCTCCACCCACTTCCCCACCGCTTTAGGTCCAGCCCTACTCTACACCCCCCTGCCGCTCTGCATCCACCTAGCCCACGTCTGCCTCCCTCCCTCCCTCCCTGCCCACCACCTGTTCCCCCCTGCTGGCTGTTCTGGGGAGCATTGGGGCCGGTCAGTAGGGGGGCGTTACCACCATGATCCCCCGCTTCACCCTTAGGGAGGGAGGCATGGGGAATCCCCATTGCTTGGGTGGCTATGGTATGTTCATCGCCACAATAAACTTCCCCAGCAGCTCAAACTTGGGCCTGTGCAGCTTGGGCCATGTAGCCAATCACTGTCTGCCTTCTTAGCAGTACATGCACAGTTGCCCAAAAGTATTACGGACAGACAGACATGCAGACAAACTAAGCCTTTTATTATATTAGAATTCTAGGTACTATTGACAAACTGTATTATAGCACAGCGATCTGACCATATCATCTCTTGTCTTTGAATTCCTTTTCTGGCTTTCATTTGCTTAGCCCAACAAATTTAAAATGGCCTCAGTTGTCACAGGCCCAAAGTCCCAAACCACATCTACCACCTGTACCTTGTATCACATCACCTTTTCCTCTTCACTTGATTAGTAATGCTAGCACTGATTCCTTGTTTTTCTTCTGTCATAACTATCGCTATTCCTTTTCCCCAACAATATCTCTAGGAATGGGAAAAAAGAGATAAACGTTTCTGAGCTACCACCACCTAGAAAACTGCAAAGATCAGACTTAGGATCAGACATAGAGTTTGATGCTTGGCAGAGAGACAGATAGGGTTAGCTAATGGAAACAGTCTGGGCCACAGAGTGTGAATGTGCATGTGGAAACCTGTATGGGAGATGGATAGAAGATACTGTATCTTTCTTTCCCATGTCCAAAGGGAGAAGGTCTATTTCAAATGATACAGATAAAGGAAATATCCTGGCAGAGAAAAATCTTTTACCTACAAGTGATAAGTATAGTTTCCAGGTAGGAGGCTTCTCATTTCTCCTCCCTTCTCACACCCCCAATCTTGGAGATAGCATGCTCCCTCCATTTTACTTGTTTGTAGTATTGTGTTCATTGGGTTGAAGTTTCATATCCCTACATCACCTAGGAATCTGGAGGAGGTAGGGATCCTGGCATAGAGGCTCACTGTGGGGACCACTCACTCTGAATAATACAGCTTAGACTGACCAGCTGTAGCATTTCTTCAGATACAGGCAGACATAGCTTCTTAAAATGATCAAACATGGTAATCAAATGAAGTGCTTGTGTACCAGGAGATTCTAGGATAAGGAATAACAGACTGTGGTAACAGAAGTTGCTTGTATCTTGAACATTAATGGTCATTGATATATTAATGCTCTGGATTAAACGCTACATAGAAAGAATGAAATGCCATACTAAGCACACCCAGAGAAATATTACAAGTACTGTGAGGTTAAACTTCCTCCCTTGTCTGCAGCAGGATCTCTGAGGTACACTTGATCAGCTATTGAAAAGGAGGTTAGCTATCTAGACCTGTCTTTCTAGGCAACCTAAGTACCATTATACTAAGGATTTCCTAGGCTAGGGCTGTCCAACTTCTTAGTGTCCAGAGACCATAGGACCCTCAGCAACACACTGCACAAGCTGCATATCCCAGGCTGCACACTGCCACTGTGCTGTATAGGCCCCACATGAGTCATATAACTCCCCTCTCTACTGCACCTCACTGCATAGGTCCCATATGCGTCACATGAGTTTTCCCAATGTACCATACAAGCCTATGATGTGTGAACTTGGATTCCCTCACCCCTCCCCTACCTCGTGTCACAACCCAATTAAGCAGTGCCCATGCCACTAGCAAGAGATACCATTCAAAGCATTCTCATTCCGCACTAAGTTAACTAAGGGTTAACAAAAATCTTGGCCGGTAACAACCTTTTGTTTTGCGTGTCAGCAAAAAGAGATTTATAGCTGCGCCACTAACAGAAATGAAACTTTAACCTTCTGTGCTTTACATAAATCATTATAATTGGTCAGAGTAACACAGGGAGTAGCCCTGTAATAAAACCCTAGCGGAGAACGCTATATAATTGGAGATTCTAATTAAATTTATGACGTGGCGAAAAACAATTGGCTATTACACAAATAAAACCCGCTTGTACTTCCGCAAAGTCGGAGACCTCTGAACATACATGTCAGAGTAACTTGACAATCTGATCAATTGCCAAAGTTCCCCGTCACCGACCCAATTTCAGATGTAAATCAACGACTGCCGGCCCGGACATTTCTGCCCAAACATTTCTGCCTGAACACCTCTGCAGACCGACCTCATGAACTCTAAGCTGTAACTAACTAAGTATCTCTGACCTCTGTCATTCACCACCTTGACGGCGTAAGTAAACAATCTTGCTTTGCAATCGATAAGCGTCCGTGCCTAATTCCACTCCAAGCATCACAAGTACCCGCCTGCCGGGCCCCTAAGGCCCCGGACCCCTCGCTGCAGTGCATGGCAGCGACACCTCATAGCAGGCAACTTCCACTGCACCACACCAGTATGGATGCTACGAAAGGTTCCCAGAGTCCTCCCACGCCTTTCAGCTATGGGGTCCCTCAGCCTTACAGGTTGCACTGGTTTGCTTAGTTCCAGGGGTGGGGAAAGATAACGGAAGCTGGAGGAAGGAAGGGTAGCCCAGGGACTCCAGCAGCAGCAACAAAAAGTAAAGGTGGAAGTGGCACCTGGAACAGGAGCCCAGGGGCCACAGCTTAACCCCTCAGGGGCCACATGCAGCCTGTAGGTCACCAGTTGGACATTGCCAGTCCTAGGCAATGAAGTCCATGGACAGAGGGAAGAAAAGGGGCGCCGAGAGGTTAGGTAGCAATTGCTCTAATTGCTATGCTTGTGATCTACATAGTCCTGTTCTCTAGCTTAAGACACAAAAGGTGAAATCTTGGCTGTACTGAAGCTAGTGGTACTCCCACTGGTTTCCAAGGAGAGGTATTTCACTCAAGGAATACTCAAATGTGAGTTATCCAAAAATGAAATAGCATTTTGGCATTGGGGCTGACCAAAAAGATTTTTTTTAAATGTATTTGTTCAATATAGCAATAAACACAGAAAAGAATGTTTTAGAGAGGACATGGGTGACTGGTGCCTCCCAAGTCTGGGGGGCACCAAATCAGCGATGGGGGTGGGAGCGAGGTCCCCCAGCAGCTGAGCACCGAGCCAGCAGCGAAACCAGAAGTGCACTTCTGTCTGCACTTCCGGTTTTGCAGCTGGCGCTTCCAGGAGGTGCATGGCCAATCTCAGGGGTGCACATGCACCCGTGTGCACCCCCTAGGCATTGCCAATGAGAGATGTTTTAGTGACTATCTAATTACTGAAAAGCATTCAAATCTTATTGTTCATCTGATATTGTGCTATAATACAAATCTGTATTTTTAGCAGCTACATTTTGGATAGATTCAGTAGTTCAAGAATGGGACTTCTGCCAACTTGACTGCCACTGCTGCCCTTCCTGGTGCTGCCATCCAAGGTGCAGAACCTTGTTATGCCTCTGGATGGACTGTTGGGCTTTGTTGTACTTCAACAGGGCCAAAATACCTCTGGAAACAACCACGGCCCTGTCTAGAATAGGAAAAAAAAGTTGGGTTAAAAATATTTTAGCCAACATGTCTTACTGAATAATAGCCTGTTTTGATTAACACACTTTCAATTGAAACATTTTTCAATGCTACTTAACACCTAGTGTTAACAGGGTATAAGATTTTTTTTATGTAGAAAGTGTAAGTTTGAGAAAGGGAGAATAAATTATAAATGGAGGAAAAATGTTTTTCTGAGAAAGAAGGGCCTTGTCAGATATATGCCTAGTGGAAAGAGTGGCATAAAGCTCATAATTTAGATAACATAAGGATAATTTATTGCAGCAGTGCTCAAAATATAGCCTATACTGCATTTGTAACTGGTTTACAAAAATACTTTCATTATTAATGTTTACAATTTACTTTGCATATTCCATTATATTATGAATTTAGTATTGTAGTAACACAATGGTAAGCACTCAATATAGACATGGGTTTTCTTTACACTGTATCAGCTAACATCTCAAGGGCAAGCTCTAATATGGCATAATTTATTAGTGAAGATATAGCCTGTAGTATTTAAGCCTTAACCCTTTATGCAAGCTGCAGCCCAGCTTTGAATCCTTATAAGTCTTGAAAAGGATTTTTTTTTAAAGCCATGGTAGGTATTATTTTTTGATTAACATATTTTTAAAAACCACTTAGCACCTAGTGTACCTAGAGTTTGGCACCTTTAAAGCTGTATCATTTTATGTCTTCCCTGATTGGAAGATATAGATATGCCTGAGCAACCTTGGGTACAGCTAATGCTGTAGCCATGGTAGCTCATAATTCAATGTGGGTTAATTGCCTAAGTATTTACTCAGCTTCTGGGGCAGGTTTTGTGTCTTGCTTCTATGGCTATACTTCTAAAGAAGCAGGAGCTGGCTGCTAGCTTGGATAGGTCTACATAGGCTGCAGTTCCATCAGTGCTTAGTGTGGACATACCATGCTGTAGTGTAACTTGGGGTGGGTGAGCAGGGCATGAGCCCTAGGTGCCAATTTAGTAGGAGCACCAGAATTGCATCCCCACCCTTGCTGAGTCCATACCCTGGCAGCAATTACCTACAATTAAGACTTTCATAAAAGTTAAGGCATAGCAAGAGATGGGATCTGCCTGATGAAGAGAGGGAAGAGCATCTTCATAGACAGGCTTGCTAACCTAGTGAGGAGGGCTTTAAACTAGATTCGATGCAGGATGGAGACCACAGCCCTGAGTTAAGTGGGGAATTGGATGACTTGGAGGAAAAGGAAGCACAAGGGGGTAAGAGGGGAGGTGTTTTCATTTTTTTTTGAGAAATCAGGGCAATCAACCAGTTACCTCGGGTGCCTGTACACAAATGCACGGAGCCTGGGAAATGAGCAGGAAGAATTGGAAGTCCTTGCACAGTCACAGAACTATGATGCGACTGGAATAACAGTGACTTGGTGGGAGCTCGCATGACTGGAGCACTGTCATGGATGGGTATAAACTGTTCAGGAAGGACAGGCAGGGGAGAAGAGGAGGAGGAGTTGCTCTTGCTATAGAAGAGCCATATGATTGCTCAGAGCTTCAGGATTAAACCAGAGATAGGCCTGTCGAAAGTCTGTGGGTTAGGGTCAGAAGAGAGAGCAACAAGGGTGATGTCACAGTGGGGCTCTGCTATACACCACCAGACCAGGAGGAAGTGGTGGATGAGGCTTTCTTCAAACAGCTAGAGGAAGTTTCCTAATTACAGGCCATGGTTCTCATGGGGGACTTCAATCACCCTGACATCTTCTGGGAGGGCAATACAGCAGTGCACAGACAATCCAAGAAGGTTTTGGAGAGTGTTGAGGACAATTTTCTGGTGCAGGTGCTGGAGTGGCCAACTAGGGGCTATGTTTTTCCGGCCATGCTCTTGGCCTGCAACTCACAAACAGGGAAGAATCAGTGAGGAATCTAGAAGTGGATGGCAACTTGGGCAGCAGTGACCATGAGGTGATTGAGTTCAGGAACCTGAGTAAAAGCAGGATGGAGAGCAGCAAAATAAGGATCCTAGACTTCAGAAAATCAGACTTTGACTGGCTCAGGAAACTCATGGGCAGCATCCCCTGGGAAGCCAGGAGAGCTTGCTGTACTTTAAAGAAGCCTTACTGAGAGTTCAGGAACAAATCATCCCAATGTGCAGGAAGACTAGCAAGTATGGCAGAAAAGACCAGCTTGGCTTAGCAGGGAACTCTTCAGTAAACTAAATCACAAAAAAGAAGCTTATAAGATGTGAAACCTTGGACAAACAACTAGGGAGTTGTATCAGAGCATTGCTTGGGCATGCAGGGATGAAGTCAGGAAGGCCAAAGTTCAATTGAAGTTGCAGCTAGCAAGGGTTGTGAAGGGTAACAAGAAAGGTTTCTACAAGTATGTCAGTAACAAGAGGAGAATCAGGGAAAGTGTGGATCCCTTACTGAATGGGGGAGGCAACCTAGTGACAGAGGATGCAGAAAAGGCTGAAGTACTCAATGCCTTTTTCACCTCAGTCTTCACAGGCAAGGACAGCTCCCAGACTACTGCATCTAATAGAAGTTTGGAGAGCAAGTGAGCGGCCAACAATGGCAAAAAAACAGCTTAGGGACTATTTAGAAAAGCTGGATATATGCAAGTCCATGGGGCCAGATGGGATGCACCCGAGGGTGCTGAGGTAGTTGGCTATTGTGATTGCAAAGCTGTTGGTCGTCATCTTTGAAAACTCATGGCAATCAGGAGAGGTCCCGGATGACTGGAAAAGGGCAAATATTGTTCCTATATTTATACAAGGGAAAAAGGATCCAGGGAACTGTAGACCATTCACCTCAGTTCCTGGAAAAATCATGGAGCAGATCCTCATGGAATCTAAGCACTTGGAGGAGAAGAAGTTGATTAGGAACAGTCATCATGGATTCACCAAGGGCAAGTCATGCCTGACCAGCCTGATTGCCTTCTATGAGGAGATGACTGACTCTGTGGATGAGGGGAGACTGGTGGATATGGTGTACTTTGATTTTAACAAGGCTTTTGCTATGGTCTCCCACAACATTCTCTCAGGCAAGCTAATGAAGTATGGGGTGGATGAATGGACTGTAATGTAGATAGAAAAGTGACTGGGTCATTTGGCTCAGAGGGTAGTAATCAATGGCTTGATATCTAGTTGGCAGCTGGTATCAAGTGGAGTGACTCAGGGGTCGGTCCTGGTGCCAGTTTTGTTCAATATCTTCATCAATGACCTGGAAGATGGGATGTCAGCAAGTTTGTGGATGGCGCCAAGCTGGAGGGGACTAGTAGATATGCTGGAGGGTAGGGCTAGGATTCAGAGAGACCTAGACAAATTGGAGGATTGGATCAAAAGAAATCTCACAAGGTTCAATAAAGACAAGTGCAAAGTCCTGCACTTAGGACAGAACAATCCCATGCACCAGTACAGGCTGAGCAGCAGCTCTGCAGCAAAGGACAATAAGCTGAATATGAGCCAGCAGTGTGCCCTTGTTGCCAAGAAGGCTAACGACATACTGGGCTGTGTTGGTAGGAGTGTTGCCAGCGGATCAAGGGAAGTGAATATTCCCCTGTATTCATCTCTAGTGGGACCACATTTGGAGTACTGTGTTCAGAAACAATGTGGACAAATCAGAGAGAGTCCAGCGTAGGGCAACAAAAATGGTGAGGGGGCTGGGACACATGACTTATGAGGAGAGGCTGAGGGAACTGAGCTTATTTAGTCTAGAGAACAGCAGCCTTCAACTACCTGAGGCAAGGCTCAAAAGAGGATGGAGCTAGACTGTTTT